GATATCTGTAATCCGATATAGATTTTGGTTGTCCAATATTTTCTTCATATTCTATATTTAAAACTTTGCTTAAATGACTATCTTGAGGAAGGGATTCACAGAATCACAGGATCGACCAAGTAGACTTGATAAATGTCAAGAGGATAGAGTATGCAAATTAGTGAAGTCGAATTTGAACTATATAAAGGCATCAGAAATTTAAGAAAGGATATGGATTTATGGTCAGTGACCTTGATAAATGTATACATTGGATGTAGTGTGTGATCTTATGCCTCTATGTGGATGATGCATGCTATGATCTTTGGAAATAAACTCAAGATAATTTTGATGTTAACAAGTTAAGGATTTGCAGAAGATAATCTTATGGAGTTAGGACAACTAGGGACGATCCTAAAATTAAAGTAACTAAGAGTCCTATAAGTATGTAATGATCGATCTCCCATACCCTATTGACAAGATTTTGAAGAAATAAAGTATTAAGATTGAAGATCTAAGTACACCTTATAATTTCATGGTATTGAGGAGCAAACATTGAAGGTGAAGGTGAAGCAATACATCGGTACAAACAATGGGTCGTAGTTTATATATCCCTTTTGCTTATTTAGAATTTGCACATATGACAATTATTTCTGAAATGGAAACTTACTAAAGAAAAAAAAAAACTTGAAAACCAACAAACGAACATTCAACATTAACCATACAACAAGAGCTGGCTCTAACACATATCCATCATCGACGAGAAATAACTCAAAGAGAAATAACTAAGAGGTGACACACTAACAATGCAATCATAATAAGATTGGCCCTTTCCATCGTAGCTATGCAAGTATATTCCTCAAAAGTTCTTTTAGATAACATCCAATGAAAGTTAAAGTAGTACATTTCAGATTCTATGAGGCAAGAGGCCTTTTCTTCTGCAAGAAAGAGAAGCTAGCAGCTTCGGACAACCGAGAACCTTTTGAGGAGAACGTGTAGCTTCATGTCTTACAGACAAATATACAATGATCCTACACAAGGATAAGGTTGTGGTTGACCATTGCACATATCCCCCAAAAGAGATCCAAATGTACAAATCTAAAAATGTAAAAAAAGAAAAGGATATGAAAGAGGAAAGGTGGGATGAGAAAGTAGTGTCCATCTCCAAGAGCTAAGAAGTGCCAATCCAACTAAGAGCCAAAGAGATCCCGCCAAGAGGGGCCGGGTTTATTAGGATTTGTCATGTTCTATTCAAAAGCTTAAGGCCTTCTAGCTACTAACAAAAGAAGAAATAGCTCGAGTTTATTATTTGTCTCATTTCTTATGGACTATGGTATTTGCTGGTCCACATTTCCTTAATGAATTAGAATGAAAGAATATTTCTTCCATAGAATACCAACAGTTGTTTACAATTTTACAAAACTCTATTAGGACAGATTTACTTGGATTTATTAGGATTTGTCATGTTCTATTCAAAAGGTTAAGGCCTTCTACTTACCAACAAAAGAAGAAATAGCTCGAGTTTATTATTTGTCTCATTTCTTAAGGACTTTGATATTTGTCATTTTAATTAATTAAGGATTAAGGAATTAGAATGAGAGAAGATTTCTTCCATAGCATGCCAATAGTTAATTATAATTTTACATAACTCTGTTAGGAAGGCTAAGGTCATTTGGAAACCAAACAGCTCATTAACCAATATTTTCTTGAAGGAAAATGCAATGATGCTAATGAGGATAAAATCTCCCATGCAAAGCATGGAGGATGCTTTAATTTAATGATGATGGGTTTTTCAAACAAGGAAGAGACTTTTTGCCGAGGGACACAATCTCTAAGATGGCATGTTTCTTCATAGATAAACAAGGTTAGTACTCTTGAGATCATGCATTGAGGCTAGAGGACATTGGTTTATTTTGTGGTATGCCATATATTGATAGTGAATATCTCTTAGTGATCTCCTAGTGCATGTAGTGCAGGTTTGTCATTCAATTCTTAATAATCAGGTTGTACCCAAGTGGACAAGAGGGATTTTGTACCTTACAAAATAATTACTGGGCTACCCTTGCATGTGAAGGACATAAGCTTCAACCTTGAGGTTGGTCTGATGAGAAATTTGTCTCTTGACGTAAAAGTGAGGAATTTAATTTCATCAAAAAAATATGATATTAATTTGATCTCTCTACCATAGAGCGCCGAATGAGGTTGAGATTGACCATAACTACAACTATGTCTTAACACAATCAATTTTGGATTTAAACCAAATTCTTATGATTTTTAATTGAAGTCCAACCTAGATTTTTGGTCCGAATTGAGTTATCCTTGATCTAGTTAGGCCAATTGACACCAATGAGTTGTATGTTTACAAATCCTAAATCTTAATTCTTGATGATTTTATAAAAGAAACATAAATTTCTACTACTCATATTATCTTATGTGTGAAATACGGAATATTGACACAATTTTATTGGACGTTTCTCTCATGAAGAAAATATAACTGGATGAACTATGAACTCTCTTTCTATAAGTATGAAATAATATATATTGTTTTCCTTAACATGATCAGTAATTTAATTATGATACAGGGATATGGAAGTTCCTTTTGTTTTTCTATCTATTCTTGAATAGTTAATTTTAAAAATATGTGTAAATTTTATTTGTTGTATTAGAATGTGCGCTTGGCATAGTACAAGCATGGCCCATACCTGCCCATCTATTTAGAACATGGAGTCGGCCATAAGAATTGCAGCCAATACGTAAAAAACTGGCATTGGACTCAAAAAAATTAATTGAACCTAGATCGCGCTTATACGAGTCTAGACTTGCCCCTACATGAGATAAAGACTAATCACGGAGATGAACATAACACAAATTGACTCAACATTAACTTATGCATGCACAAGGGAATAGAGCTTACCCTTCTTCCCTAGATTGACAATTCTTACAATTAATAGAATCTGTATCGTTTCTTGTTTTTTTAATAGTGCTTGGTTGTAGAAAACGGAATTCCTTCAAAACACTTCAATGAGTTCTATATATTAAGTCAAGAATGTAAATTCCTTTTTTAATACATCTTGCTGAAAGAAGATAAGATTCCTCCCTTTTAACCTAAAAGCGATAACAATAACCAGATCACCACAAGGACAAAAAAAAAAGAACAATAAATAAAAATAAATCAATAAGTAGTAGAGCAAACACACCAATCAGAGCAGCCTTCACATTGGATCATAAGATCATCAGGATTGTAAGGCATTTCACATTTGCAGAATCTGCACCAACCAACAGGCAAGTTAGCAAAACAATATCTGTTACACCTAGTTGTGTGAAGTCAACAGCAAAGAATAAGCCAACTTGCTAGATTATGACTTGAACTCTTGTATCAATTATATTGCTAGGGGAAAAAATGGATAACATAATAGAGCAGCTAGGCTCTAAGTTGAATAGATTAAACTTGTTTCCAATATACAAACAAATTATCAACAACACTACTCTGTGCAATTAAAGGTATAAAGTTTAACATTCATCTTTCAGAAGCTTCCTGCTTACTGATCTTATGGTGCAGTGGCACTTAAAGGGAAGGGAAAGGGATATGAATGTGATAGAAGAGGAAGGAAAAATACAAAGTCTATCATATTGTGATCTAAGCTAATGTAATCGAAATGTCCATTATTAACATCCATTCTTCAATCATTATTTATTTTAAGTGATATATCTCCATCTAATTGGTTCAGTAGAAAAGATTTCATTTCCCACATTATGCAGGTGTCAGTAGCCGGAGTGTTTACTATTCCCAAAGTTATTTACCACAAAATAATTTTTTTTCTAGTTGCAAACTGCAGAACAAATCGTTTCTTTGTAGAACACCCAAAGACAATGATTGTCCATTTTTTGTGATATGCATCCATCTAAGTCGTTTAGTACAAAAGATTTCATTGCCAAATCATGCATGTAGATGTCAGCAGAACTAGTGTTCATGATTTCAGCAGAACTAGTGTTCATGAGTCATGACCTTTTCCAGTCGCTAACCTTGTAGGACAAACAAACTTTTGTGAAAAAACCCAAAAAGACAATCCCTAAACAATAAAAAATCGAACTTTTTTCCACCCCCACTTTCTATCTCCAACATCCTACTAATCATAAACCAATTAAACAGTTAAAACAGTTTTCATACACTGCGATCCGATCAGGCACGAAGCTCCCCGTGGCCGACTTATACTCAAACCTACAGAAGAAATCATCATTCCCAACCGTATCAAGCCTCGTGTAGTTCTTAAAACTATGAACAATGCACTTCCCCTCGATCGTGTCCGCGCTCTGCACGTCGAAGTGATCGGAGAGGAACAGCTCCTTGGCTCCATGAAACCTCCTCCGGCCACCGATCGACTCCTCCGGCCTGTAGTACCACCGAACCCTAACCTTCACGTGTGCCCCACGGCGATCGGCCTCGATCGCCTCCACCTTGGCCACGTACGGAGCTTTGGAGGAGTCCGGGGCCCGCATTAGCACTGAATCTCCCGCTGCAAAAGAAAAAAGCGGGAAACTTAGAGTTGAGGATGGGATTTTTTTTAAGGGTTTTGGGAAATTGAGAGAATTACGTTTGATGATTTTGTTGGAGCCCTTGATGGCATAGGAATCGAGGGTGCGTTTCGATGATGGGCGGGGTTTTGCCATTAAATTAGGGTTTCGATTTGGGGGAGAGATGAGATTATTAGGGTTTTGATTTTTGATATTTTTAACTTTTTTTTGAGAGGGAAAGAGGGAGATTGGGGCGATGAAGGATTTTTCTGTTTCTAGAAACACGGTCACCGTGTCACGGTGGAAATGGTTACTCCGGTACATGTATTTTTACAACTAAACCCCCAAAATTCACTTGGGGGTTATTGGTTGGGATAAATTGGGACCAAGTGAAAAAATTATTCTAATTAAATAATTTTAGTCTTTTGGGATATTTTGAGTAGGGTAAAGTGATATAAAGTGGGATAATGGGATAATTTGAGCCTTTGATTTGACAATTCATGTGGGATAATTAATGATGTGACACCTTATTAAAATAAAATTTTATTATTAATTACTTTTAAATTAACTTTCCAATTGGTTTAGTATATTATTATAATATAAATATTATTTTGTTTGAAACTCATCCATAGGCCAAAGGCCTATGATATATATTTATACTAGTCAATGTGAATAGGTTGAGTACCCAAGAGTCACCCCCACTTAGTGGGGTGTTACACCAGCATAATGGGGTGTGAATGGAGGGATAATGAGGGGGAGACCAAATGCCTCCCTCATCTCATAATACTCCCCCTTATCCATCCATTACCTTGGGTTTAGCTTATGAACACTTCAGGGTTCGTAAAGCTAATGGGGTGGATACTTCTGGATCCAGAGTAAACTTGTTTGCCTCGTTAAAACATTAGCTGTGGAAAACTCAGTGGGAAAAAACCATCAGCCTAAGGAAAAAGAGTACAACCCATAGGTTACTCTCCCTGAACCATACAAGCTTCAGGCTTGTAGGTCTTTCAGATGTCTCATCCCTATTCCTTTTACAAGTTTTACAAAAGTACATCTAGGCAGAGCCTTAGTGAACAAGTCAACTAAATTATTACATGATTGGATCTGTTGTACTTTAACTTGCTCCTCCTCTTAAGATCGTGCGTCCAGAAAAACTTGGGAGATATGTGCTTCGTCTTGTCACCCTTGATGAAGCCAGACTGAAGTTGAGCAACGCAGGCTGCATTGTCTTCAAATATAGTAGTTGGCTCAAGGTCACCAGTCTTCAGGCCGGTAGACACTAAGATGTGTTGAATGACAGAACGAAGCCAAACACATTCTTTGCTGGTTTCATGGATCGCGAGGAGTTCGGAATGGTTGGATGAGATTGCTACAGTGGTTTGCTTGACAGACCTCCAGGAGATGGCCGTACCACCGAATGTAAACACAAATCCGGTTTGTGATTTCTCGGTGTGGGGATCAGACCTGTAACCTGCATCTGAATAACCAATTAAGGTGGGAGACCCACCCTTCGGGAAATATAATCCCAGGTCTATAGACCCTTGGAGGTAGCGCAGAAGATGCTTAACTCCATTCCAGTGGCGCTTTGTGGGCGCTGCACTGTATCTGGCTAGTAGGTTAACTGAAAACGCTATATCGGGACGCGTACAGTTAGCCAGATATAGTAGTGCTCCAATGGCACTGAGGTAAGGTACTTCAGGACCTAGCATTTCCTCCCCCTCTTCCAGCGGACGGAAGGGGTCGTTCTTTACATCCAATGATCGAACAACCATTGGTGTACTAAGAGGATGACATTTATCCATTCGGAAATTTTTAAGTAATTTCCGTGTATATGTGGATTGGTGTAACAGGATACCACCCTTAAGGTGTTCGATCTGTAAGCCAAGACAATACTTTGTTTTGCCTAGGTCTTTCATTTCAAAAGTATTCTTAAGGCTTTCAGATATCCCAGCTATCTCTGCAGGAGATCCAATGAGATTTAAGTCGTCGACATAGACGACGACTATCATGAATCCTGTTCCCGATCTTTTTATAAAGATACACGGGCAGACTTTATCATTGGTGAATCCTTGCGTAGCAAGGAACTCACTTAGTTTGTTATACCACATTTTCCCTTTTTTCTGTTAATTTTTCAGCTACCATATATTATTCTACGGATTATAGTAATTACCTCTAGATCAAAGATCTAGGGACGATCGATACTAAAGATCCGTAGAACGCTGCCTCCTTGCGATGATCCGTCGAACGCTCCCGCTGCAACGAACCAGATCTCAATGCGCAAAAGAGGAAGGAAATATTATTTTTTTATGGCTCAGGGATTCAAGAACACTACGTGCTGATAACGTGTTTGAAACCCATCCATAGGCCAAAGGCCTATGATATATATTTATACTAGTCAATGTGAATAGGTTGAGTACACAAGAGTCACCCTTACTTAGTGGGGTGTTACACCACTATAATGGGGTGTGAATGGAGGGATAATGAGGGGGAGGCCAAAGGCCTCCCTCATCTCATAATATAATATCAATATATTTCATATAATATTTTAATAATATAATATTTAATATAATACATTATTTTATTTATACAAAAATATAATATGTTATACAATAATTACTAATTAACATTATATTAGTATGCTACATTATATAATAATTGATATAATATATGAATAATATATATAATATAATACTTTAATAATATATTATTTAATTTAATATATTATAATATAGTATCATAGGATATAATGTACTAATTAATATTATATAATAATATATTACATAATATTATTAATATATGTTATTAAAATATTATATATATGTTATTAAAATATTAATATATGTTATTATATAATATTATTAATATATGTTATGAAATTATGTTATTAATATATGTTACTAAAATATTATATAATATTATAATAAATACGTTATACTATAATTACTAATTAATATTATATAATAATATATTACATAATATTATTAATATATGTTATTAAAATATTATATATATACGTTATTATAATATTATAATAAATATGTTATACTATAATTACTATTATATAATATTATTATATATGTTACATAATACTATTAATATATGTTATTAAAATATTATATATATGTTATTAAAATATTAATATATGTTATTATATAATATTATTAATATATGTTATTAAATTATGTTATTAA